AAGCCTTTGATGAGAAACTTTCTCAAAAGCTTTCTGGAAGTCTTGGTAAACAACATCTACTGGGTCACCCTTGTTCACCTCTGTTTACACCCTCAAAGAAATCTAAAAGGTTAATGAGAGAAGATCTTCCCTTACAGAATCCATGCTGATTCTTCCTCAGTAGCTTTTGTTCATCCATGTGCCTACTAATTCTGTCTTTAATAACAGATTCCACTAACTTACCTAGTATCAGTGTTAGACTGACTGGCCTGTAATATCCCAGATCTCCCCTGGAACCTTTTTAAAAGAGGGGGGTTGCATTAGCTGCCTTCCAGTTCTTAGGAATGGAGGCAGATTTTACTGATTGCACATTTTTGTCTTATCCTCTCAATGGTCCTTTGAGGTAGATGAAGGTAATGAGACTGGCCCAAGTTCATGTTAGTTCATTCAGAGATTGTTACTTCCTTGCATCTGCTAAGAGTTAAGATGTTCTTGTTTGGCTGAATATATTGGGGTGTCAAATGCGCTTTTAAAAAATATGAAACAAAAAAAATCCCTGTTATGTGTGAGCCATTATCTGTTGGCAGACTTCCATAACAATCACTAGCCTCATACATTAAATGGAGGTTTGAAGCATTGACTGAAGAAACTTAGGGTAATGTGAAAATAGTATAGGACAGAAGACTGTTAGAGAAACTTTGTCCACTTGATACATGATTTGGAATGTACTGATTACCCTCTTTTCCTCTGTCCTTTTCTGTCTACCTAAAGATCGCATTCTACCTTAATTGTCTTCAAGATTTTGTTGTACATTTTAGATTATGTAATCCTATTTTAGAAATATTCCAGTGTAAATCCATTAATCAGTGGACTTGAACTGGAGTAACAGCAAAGGAATGCCTTGTAAATTGTGTTATTTTTCTCTATTCCTCTTTGAACTATTCTAGATGTTGAATACATTGGTAGTATTATCTTAATGAATACATTAGGAAATAATACAGCCAGGGATATAGAAGTACTGTTTGTTTTCTCTTCCTAGCTAGTTCCTGGCAGGTGGTTTTAAATCAATTGCTAAGCTTAATTTTGACATTATTTCAATCTTAGAGTAACATGGAATGAGAGCTTTGACAGTAATTTTATTGCATATCTATGTTACAAGACTCTTACCTCAAAGTTTCAAGATTGGCTCTGATAGCAGTGATGATTTGTGAGTTTTCTCTTGGCTGCATACTTTTGTCTTCAGCCTTTCCTAGTTACAAGCTTCTCTAGGGTGAGAAGCCAGACAGCTCAACAGAATCTTGGAGCTCAAAGCTTCTTTGTCAGGATGAAAGAAAGAGAAAATAAGTCCTGTAATGAAGTGCCTTCAAGCTTTGTGTATTCCAGGGCTCCCCCTCCCCAGGCAGAAACTGAGAGCAAAGCTGAGGCATTTAAAACAACTGAAGAAATATATTGGGCACTGGGCAAGAAGTAAAATTTAGGATTATTTTTCCCACTATGATTTGCTTAAGACCTGGTTTTAGACTAACTTAGGATCTATGTGATCAATGAGGCTGTGTAACATTATGATGCTTTTTAAATATATTATAGGGGTTGGGTACAATTCTTGTATGTACTTTCATGTTCAGAGAAAGGCTTTGCAGAGTTTTAAGGGGAGAGTAATTTACTTACTCATTTACTTTGTTTACACCCTGCCTTCTCCCTTGTGTGGACCCAAAATGGCTTACATCATTCTCCTGTCCTCCATTTTATCCTCACAACAACCCTGTGAGGTAGGTTAGGCTGAAAGAGTGAACTAGCCCAAGGATGCCCAGCAAGCTTCCATAGCAGAGTGGGGATTTGGACCTGGGCCTCCCAGAGCCTAGTCCTACACTCCTAACCACTATACCACAGCAATATGTTTGGGGGGACTTGAACATACCTCCACTGTCAATCACTTAGCAGGTAACGACATTACTACTGATGTGTTTTCAGATTTATGTGCGCACACACTCTCTTGGCTTAGAGAGTAGGAATACACCGGCAGTTTTCACAGTGGAGGGTCATGAGCAGCAGAGTCCCACAAGGATTGGTGTTGAGACCAGTGCTATTGTATTCATAAATGATTTGGAATGGGGGGTGGAGTGAACAGTGCAGTGGTCACATTTGCATATTATACCAAAGTATTCAGAATGGTGAAAACCAAAGTGGATTGTGAAGAACTACAGGAGGACCTATCAAAACTGTGTGAGTAGGCAACAACATGGTAAATGAAGTCCAGTGGAACAAAAAAGACACACTGGAACAAAAAAATGTAACTTGAAACATATGCTGATGGGATTTGAAATGTCTGAAACCAAGACTGAAAGAGATCTTCCTCCAGCCCTAGTAAGCACAATGGTTGTTTTGGGTTTAAATCTATACATCAGAAGTTCCACTACAACTTCCAAGTATTCTGTATTCCACAGTAGGATGAAAGGTTATGGTAAAAACTGGGCAAGACCATTTGGAAGAGCGATCCCCCCCCCTTTAATTAGAAAGGCAATGGAGCTAAAACGCTGCCTCAAAATATGGAGGGAAGAGCAGGGCAAAAAAAACCCTTTTAATAGATAAGTAAAAATAGCAAGATTTGCAAAATCGGTTTGTTTTCTAGGTCCCAAAATTTTTGCACATGTTGCTTCTACAGAAACGGCACATAGAATCAGTGAGATATATTACTGGATCAACCAGAGGTGTAAGAGTTTGAGTTATATAACTTGTCATGGAAAATAGGCAGAGTGAGCTCTTGTGTGTCTCATTTAGTATAGTCAAAATTGCTGTTGTGTTCCTTCTGAATTGGATAGCTTTTGCCAGTTCTCATTAGAGATTGCTTTACTTGGACTAATCACTTATCTTGCCCCTGTTCCAACCTTAGTTCACATGGTGAATGTTGTAAATTCTGACACAGCATGGTGGGTACAGCCACAAGACTGCTGCAGGAGGCAGAGCTGGCCCCAAAATAGCTGCTTGCCACAGTTTACCTTCAGTCGCAGAGGGAAGATGTTTGTATTGTGGTCGCAGCTGCTGCCAAAGCAATGTTTGCCTTTAAAATCTGTGCAGTCAATCAAATCTCTAGGGGCTAATCAGAAACTTTGCTGGGCAAATGCCCTACCTGGCCCTGCCCCACTTTCTAAAAATGCCTGGTGGACACCAGTAAAGGTGTCAGCAGCCACCATGGCTCCCATGGACTGGGGACCCTGGTATAACATAATCAGCTGTCTTAAACTGTTCATGACAGTTAAGGATAAATAACATGAGGCCTGACAAGTCTCACAGTTTCACTCAAACTGTAGAAATTCTGTGGAAACTCAGGTTATCAGATTCTTGAGGTCCTCAGACTTATTCCCAGTCCTGCACTGCCTATTTGAAGGGTGTTTGGAGACCTGTGAATTCTGACTACGTGTTTGCAAACAATTAACAGCAGTAACCCACTTCTTAAGCTCCAGTAATGAAAATGTTATTTCCAAGTGTAAACTTTGCAAGTTAACTGATCTATTTAATAGTGTCTCTTGGGCCATAATCCAGCCAAAGTTAAGCCCTTCTGATTTCCATACCATATGTCTTTATGGATTTATTTATCTAATCATTGGATCATTGACTTCCAAGGCATATAATGAAAAACTAAATCAATAAAATAAAAGCATGGTATCGATAAAATACTAGTTGATGTACAATTAAAATATCAACCAATAAATAGCAAACCAAAAGAAGTCATGCCAATCCTGTTTGGAGAAGGTAGCACTGTTCTCCCCCCCCCCATCAAAAACTTGTTCCTTATGGAAAGCTCCATACAGTTCAAAACTGTTAGTAAATTTTAATTAAAAACTCCAGTTTGATGTAGAATTAACCATTCTAATAGTTTATCAGTTCTAGTTTTTCATCAGAAATTTATTTATTTTATTTATTTATCTGTTATATTTATACCCCGCCCTCCCAGCCATGGCCAGCTCAGGGCGGCTTACAACAGCATAAAAACTACAATGCATAAAATAACAATCTTAAAATCATAACAATAACAATATTAAAAGGTGCTAACAATAATAATCCAATTTCCAATAACAGATATCAATTTAACATTACGTCTAAGATGGCACTCAACTTCCATGTCATCCTAATGGTCGATCCCGATCTAACGTTGTATGGGTGGCTCAGGCTGCTTTAAGATTTCAAGGGGCAGGGCATTCTCCCCCAGGGTGGCTCCTAATTGAATGCCTGGCAGAACAGCTCCATCTTGCAGGCCCTGCGGAACTGCATAAGGTTCTGCAGGGCCCTGATCTCTGGGAGCTCGTTCACCAGAGCGGAGCCACAACCAAGAAAGCCCTGGCCCTTGTTGTAGCTAGCCTGGCATCCTTTGGCCTGGGAAGGGAGAGTCGATGTTGAGACCCTGATCACAGTGCTCTCTGGGGAACATGTGGGGAAAGGTGTTCCCTCAGGTATGTAGGTTCCTGGCCATAAAGGGCTTTAAAGGTAAGAACCAGCACCTTAAAGCTAACTCAGTATGCTATCAGTAGCCAGTGCAATGCCTTCAGTACAGGCTTAATGTGCTCCCGCATTGGGAGGCCTATCAGCAGTCTGGCTGCAGCATTTTGCACCAGCTGTAGCTTCCCAATTTGCGATAAGGGCAGCCCCATGTAGAGAGCATTACAGTAGTCCAACCTCGAGGTGATCATCTCATGGATCACTGTTGCCATTTCGTTGCGTTCAAGGAAGGGAACCAACTGTCTAATCAGCCGAAGATGATAAAAGGCTGACTTGACAGTGACTGCTACCTGGGCCTCCTTTGTCAAGGAGGCATCCAGGAGCACTCCTAAGCTCCTTATGAGAAGGAAAAAATGTTACCTAAGACCCTTAATGTTGTATTTTGAGTTGGAGATCAGATTCTTTTGGCATCCATCATGGAATGCAGATAGCCATATTTACATCATTTGTTCTGTTGCAGTTTTCTAGAGTGAGCCATTAAATATCAGTCACACAATTTGTCTGTTCCCTGTATCCTTGTGGCAAAGATAAATAGGAGTAATATTTTTAAATGTCTGATACTCATTTGGGTTGTCTTACCATTTTCAGATTTCCTGTTCAAGTTTTTGGTTATTGGTAATGCTGGAACTGGCAAATCCTGTTTGCTTCATCAATTTATTGAGAAGAAGTGTGAGTATAATGTAGGGACTGCCACTTTTTCTCCTTCAGGAGTTAAAGGTCCTGGTCTATATTGTCCTTTTCCAAAAACTGCCTAGCAGTATTTTTCTTAGATAACCTGTTCCTTTTTCAAGAGAGCTGCTGTTAGTAATTAGGGACAGTTGAAGTATAGTTCACCACAAATAGTTTTCTGTAAATGTCTGTAAAGATGCTATCAGTAATTGTGCTATAGAGTCATGATATGCTATGATCCTGTGATTGCTATAGGAAGGATGGCAAAAGTTAATTATCATAATGGCACACAAATGAAGTGACTGATGGTGTTCCATTCAGGTGACAAAGGTGCTGGATAATAGTTTACAAACTTGGGCTAGAGGGTATTTGTCACAAGAGAAAACAAATAAATGGCCTTTGAACAGGAAAGAATTTCCTTGGCTGATATATTTATTACATATTAGCCCATCACATTGGTGGAAAATTCCGTCAAGTTGCAGCCAACTTATGGTGACCTTGTAGGGTTTTCAAGGCAAGAGATGTTCAGAGTTGTTTGCCATTGCCTGCCTCTACATCACAACCCTGTACTTCCTTGGTGGTTTCCCATCCAAATACTAACCAGGGCAACCCATCATAGTATTAGCATATAAAGTGTAAATACACAGTGTAATGTGTTGCTGTTTCATGGGTTTCATTTTGACATACCTTGTTCAGTGTATTAAAAAAAAAGCATTCAGAAAAGAATATTCATAAAGAACAGACAAATCAAATGTCATTTAGGTAATAGTGTACTTTGCGTAACTGTGATAAAGCTTCTTCAGTCATGTAATGTATATGCTTCTGTTGCAGTGGTGTCAACAAGATATGGACAGGTAAAATTGAAAAGGCCAGTCTGCAGCCTCATATCATAATGTTGTTTTGCTCCTTAATTGTACTTAAAAGTTAACTGAATTTTTTCCTGTTCTAGTCAAGGATGACTCAAATCACACAATAGGAGTGGAGTTTGGTTCAAAGATAATAAATGTTGGCGGTAAATACGTAAAATTACAGATATGGGATACAGCTGGACAAGAACGATTCAGGTATATTTTCATATAATTTGGTTCAGAAAGTTGATTAGCATATCATAGGAATGCTGTAACCAGTTGCTTAGATAATTTTAATCATTTCATTAGTTCATGATAGCCTCTGGTGCTGTAACTATGTTGGAAGAACTAGACATGGGCCCATAAAAAAAAACATTTTAAAGTTGTGTCGATTTAATGTGAACACAGTTAAAAATTATCCTGTTGAAACTGATGGGACTTGGATTGCTTAGTTTTGACTGGATAGTGCCCATACTGTCTTGTTAAGTAGGCACTCACTTCTGTGTTATTTTAAGTGTAGCCCATTTACTGCCAATCTTAATAGAATGAGAAAATACAGTGATGCAAATTTTCTTTTACAGGTCTGTAACACGAAGTTATTACCGAGGTGCTGCAGGTGCCTTGCTCGTGTATGACATCACCAGGTAAAAAGATAATACTGTTATAGTCTTAAGTACAAATAAAATTGTGGCATTTGATCAATATATAGTAAGGGATTGTTTTACAACTAGGATGCATTATGTGCATTAAAAAGCTGTCAGGGGAATTATTCAGGCTTTATTGTACCCACACCCCTCCAAAATAACCATAAAACTCAAATGTTTTTTAAAAGCCATTTCTTTTGAGAGTTTAGAAGTGCCAGTGTGTCCCTTTTCAGGGGAAAGATATCTGCCCTATAGACCACCACCCCATACATATAAAGTATGTGCTGGACCTTGGCATTTCTGCATCTTGTGAGGAATATTGGAATATCAAGGACTATGAGAACAGCCACTTACTTGGCTATTTATGAATGCAAGAGTTTAATCCTGTGTCTGTACAAATGAAAAGTGTGTGCAGCACTGGATCTTACCCTATTTCCTTCCTGTAGCAGCCCTCTGATTCCCCAAAAAGTTTTTTAGGAGATTGCAGGACTCCCCCTCCCTCATGACCAAAAAACCACCAGGCAAGGGGACCGTCTGCAGAGGAGACTTGAGCAAAATCACTCCTACCTACTTCTTGTGTAAGCAAAGTATTTATGCTGATAAGTTCCTCTGCCAGGTCTGATGGGAAAAGACTGATGTAGAAGTGATTTTTTAAAATTTCCCCCCTCTTACTGCAGCCTCCTGTGCATGTTGGCATTTTTTTGCACAGGGGACCTGCAATCCCTAGGCAGGGGGTTGTAGGGGTCTACTGTGGGAAGATCTGCTTGCGCGACCATGGGATCCAACCCACTATTTCTGGAGACCATGTTTCATCTGTTCATTATTTCCTTGCCAGTTTCCTCAGATAGTGATGATTACTTCTCAGAAAATCTCTAGGCTGTGGGAGTTGGCCAGCACACACGTCCCAGTGGCAGCAGAAAGCAAATGCATTGTTAGAATATGTGCTTCTCGACAAAGTCTCGACTGCATCAATTCACAGTTAATCCCTTACATGTTGATGGCACCTAGGATGTGCATCCCCTTCCAGTAGTACTTGAGCCTTTAGTAAGCTTCAGTTACTCATGGGAGCAACATTGCCAGTTGCATAATTCCTTGCTTAGTTATCTTTGGTTTCAGCTCTAGCTCCTGAAATGTGCTATCCCAGTTCAAAAAATGGGAGTGATGCTGTGACAAACTGACCTCTAAAAGTGGGAGGCTTAGTGCATCAAAATTCAGAGACCTGGGAGATTAGGGGTTAATGCCTCACTGTAAAGCACAGTTTGATTGACAGGCTGCTGCCTGTGTGCACCCCCTTCTCTCTGATTGGCCAGCACCAGCTGAGGAGAGTTTTATAAAGCCTTGTCACTCTTGTCAGAGGGAGTCAGTCATCGTTTGGACTTTGGCTTGGCAGTTGCCGTTCAGGAGGAGTATGTGTGTCAGTCTGAGGGAAACAGACAAGTCACTTGAGAAGCGAAGGGACACAACTCCTTTCCCTTACTTTGTACCAACACATTTGAGGAAGAGCTCAGAAAATAGAACTTAAAATCTAAGCATCATCCCTAGCTGAATTTTGTTTATTCACAGTCTCCAGAACTGGGGTCTAGGTTTGAAAGAAGAGACTGGCCAGGAGGTTGAAAACTGCCAGTCTAGCCAAACAGAAAAAGAGTATTGTTCCTAGAAAGAGGAGGATATTTCTTACCCATTTATTCAGAGGGTTCAACTCAGAAGGGACCCCTGGTGTGAGTGGAAAGGGAAATGGTCTTAGACTCCCACAGGGGAAGTATTTAAATACAGGAAGAAAGTACTAACTTCCAGGAAACTAAGATACTTTTATGAAACTTTATTAAGACACATTGTTGCTGAAAGAAATCTCCAAGACAAACAAACCTCTCACAGTGAAGAACTGAGTCTCTAAGAATATAAGCTTCAACTATACTCTGTTGCCTGTTCAAAAGATTATAATTTGTATAAACAATCAAATTTACCTTAGCTTCTCATCCCCTGCCCTATTCCTAACTCAGCTGTGCCTGTTCAATAAAATCAACCTTTCTGTTTGAACTTTACATTATGTCAAGTGCCATTTCCAAAGGGATTTTGTAAGAGGGCTCCTGCTGAGTTATAATAAATCTCTGGCCTGGGCAAAAGCCAAAAATCTTCTCTATCACAGGGTGGGACAAGCAGAAAGTTATAATTCTATCACTCAAATACACTACTAAGAGGCTGCTCTGTCAGAGTGGGGAACAGCCTTTTGGCGGGAAAATCTGCCTCACATAGAGAGAAGGAGTAGGAGTCTGTCATAGATGCTTCTTGGTATTTGTTTGCCAAGCTGTGCAACTTGTCTTTGAGTGTGACTGCAGATATTACATAGCTTAAGGTCTCACTGTCCTGTCATGTACAGGTTCTTGTCATAAGCAAGAGAAGAAAGTACAGGAAATATTTTCATATAGTTTTTGCATTAATCTTCCAACAATGTAAACAGTCTTTTCCTCTAAAAATAAGAGCAGCTGTCAACTAATAAGTATTTAAAGGAGATAATTGTGGGTCAAGAGAATGTAGTTGTTCTCATAGCTAATAATTTGTCCTTTGTGATTCAGCCGAGAAACCTACAATGCGCTTACTAACTGGTTGACAGACGCAAGAATGTTAGCAAGTCAGAATATTGTAATAATACTGTGTGGGAACAAAAAGGATCTTGATGGAGATCGGGAAGTTACTTTCTTAGAAGCATCTAGATTTGCCCAAGAAAACGGTAAGGATTTTTCATGGCTTCTCATTTTTAGTCTTCCCAATAGTCATTTTGTTTGTGTGTCAAGTGCCTTCAAGTTGCAGCCAACTTATGGGGACCCCAGCAAGGGGCTTTCAAGACAAGTGAGAAGTAGAGGTTGTTTGCCATTGGCTTCCTCTGCAGAGTCTTCCTTGGTGTTCTCCCTTCCAAGTATCGATGCTGGTTAGCTTCCAAGATCTGACAAGATTGGAGTATATCTTGGTTCCTTCCCTCCCTGATAGTCATCTTAGGTCACGTTAAAATACAGTTCAAATCTAGCTGCATGAGTATATGAGTTTCTAGGCTACCTAGTGTTGATGACGTTCTGAAAAACTACATATGCTCAGCACAGTTCCCACTGTAGCTGACGTTATGCAGTGAAAAAGATTCTGCAGGTTAATAAATAGTTATGTAATATAGCAGCATACTTCCATCTACCACAGCTAAATCTCAGAGTGGTTTATTATGTGGTTGACAGTTGCTTTCCCACTACGGCAGCTTATGAGGCCAACAGTGTTTAGCTTCAGAGTCGACATTTTTTGGAAAAGATGCATCACATGCCTTTTGACCATTGTAGATTGACAGGTTTGTTTCATTTTTGTATCTGTTTGCAGAGATGATGTTCTTGGAAACAAGTGCATTGACAGGAGAGAACGTTGAAGAGGCCTTTGTACAGTGTGCCAGAAAAATACTTAATAAAATTGAGTCAGGTAAGTAATCATAAACTGAATTTTGAATACTGTCAGCTGTAATGTTAGACCTCAGGTTTTATGGAATAACACAGTGCTATCAAGGTAGCTCTGAACCTGTGAAAGTGACGTGAAAGCAATTGGGAGAATCAAATCACCTGGAATAGTGGGATATCAAGAGAGCTGTTCTGGGCCACAGAAACTGAGTTCATCAAAATCATAACAAGAATATGCCAACAAATATAGAAGACAAAACAATGGCCCGCAGACTGGAAGCATTCAATCTATGTTCTGGAAAAAAAACAGACATCAGAGATTGCAGCAACTATCAGACCATCACATTAATTTCTCAGGTGAGTGAAGTGATGCTCAAAAGACTGTTCCTGCATATGAAACAAGACATGACAGATGTTCAAGCTGGGCTCAGAGAAGGGGCAGTTGTGATGGGCAGTAAATGGTTAATGCTGTAACCCAGTCTGAGAACCTTGAGTGACACAGGTTTCAAATGGAATTCTTCAATTGAGAGTGTCAGAGGAGTTGGGAGTTGACAGTTAACAGTGAGAGGGCAAAGCAGACTGGGAGAGGATCAGGAAGGATCCTGAGTTAGGGAAGTGGGAAGTGTAGCCCATCTCTAACAAGTCTGAGGGAAATAGCTCCTAGAAGATGGGGGTGAACCCTAGCCAGTGGATAAGGAAGGAAACTGGAACATGTGTGAATGTTCTTACCTTCACCAACTTAAGTGTATGTTAGACCAAGAAGCTTATGCTAGTTTGTATAAGAAAAACTACCAAGAAATCTCCCTCAAGTGTTCAAAACCTGGCTGAATAACTGAAACAGTTACGTGTTTGTGACAAATTATCTGGTGTTTATTTTTATAAAAAGTTACCTCTTTCCTGTTGCAAGTTTACCTCATATGTCCTAAACCAGATTGCTACCTGACCTTTTTCACTTGAAGTGAAATAAAACAGTTTTGTTATTTTTGATTTACCATCAGCCTCTTGTGTGCCATTATCAAACCAGGAGAAAAAGAAGGATTTTATCTCCTCTCAGTTCCCTAGACTGGATCAGCATTTTACAATATACATTCAAATGACAGCCAGGGTGGGACAGCCAGAGAAAAACAAAGAAGAAAAGGGGGGAAAGGGCTGCTCAGCAAAGAACAAGATAAAGGGAAACCCTGGGAGAGAGTGAAATTGTCATAGCAATCGAGATCATATTGCAAATTTATGTTGGTTACTGGAGCATATGAGAGAATTTCAGAAGAAAGTAAGCTTCTGTTTCATAGATTACAAGAAAGCTTTTGACTGTGAAGTTCATGAAAAGCAGTGGTTGGTTTTAAAAGAAATGGGTGTGCCACGATACATGATTGTTTTGATGTACAACCTATACTCTGGACAAGAGGCTACTGTTAGGGCAGAATTGGCGAAGCTGTCAGACAAGGGTGTCTTGTATCTCCCTGTCTCTTCAATCTGTTATGCAGAATATATCCTAAGGAAGGATCAGATTTAGATGGAGTGAAAATTGGTGGAAGGAACATGAACAATTTGAGGTATGCAGATGATACCACATTACTGGCAGAAAATAGTGAAGAAGACTTGAAACAGCTGCTGCTGAAAGTTAAAGCAGTAGGCACCAAAGCAGGATTACAGCTGAACATCAATAAGACAAGAATAATAAATACTGAGGAATTACACAAGTTTAAGGTGTCAAATGAAGAAGAGAGACTGTGACCAAGAAATCAGAAGGAGATTGAGATTGGGAAGGGTAGCCATGAAGGAGCTAGAAGGCTTGGTGTTGGAGGTGAGTTTTGTGGATAACATCAACCACCAAATCAAATCAAGCCTGAACTCTCCCTAGAAGCTAAAATTACTAAACTGACACTATTGTACGTTGGTCACATTATGAGAAGACAAGAGTTACTGGAAAAGACAATAATGCTAGGAAAAATTGAAGGCAGCAGGAAAAGAGGAAGACCCAACATGAGATAGATTGAGTCAATCAGGGAAGTCACGGCCCTCAGTTTGCAAGACCTGAGCAAGGCTGTTAACAATAAGATGGTTTGGAGGTCATTCGTTCATAGGATTGCCTTCAGTTGGAAGTGACTTGCTGGCAGACAGTTAACACACACACACACACATCAAGGTAGATTTTTTCCTCTTGTAGTAAAATAGCACCCAGTTCTCACCTAAGCTGCCTTCTGCATGCTGCCTTCTTTTATTTTCTGTTGAGTCAAGGCCTCTTCTTCATTGTGAAGCCTTGAACAAAAGGACATGAAAAATGAGCTTTTGTTTCATTATAAAAAGGCTGGAGACAACAGGACAATGTCAGACAGACCTAGCAGTTGACAAAAATCTACCCCTTTCTAAATGTACTTTTGGTGACAGATATACATAATAACCAAGATCACTGATGATGGATCGTCACTTAGAATTAAGTTTAAGTTCATTTTCCATCTTCAGTGCAGCCCCACATTGGGACTGTGCTTGCGCAGGCCTTCCCCAAATACATTTTTTCCCTAGCTTAAAGCATTTAAAGGGTGGAGCCCCGCCACCTCAGAGCCAACGCGATGGTGTTTTAGTGCCTATTGTATTCCAAGGGGAGTGCCCCCTCGCCCTCAGTTCCTTTTCTGTCGCCGCATAGGTAGGTTCTTCTAATGATCACTCCATGCTTCCTGCTCGTTTTTTGTCTGGGAGTCCTTTTCTCTTCCTCAGCATTTTTTTTTTTGGGGGGGGGGAGTTTAATCTTGCTCATATTGTCAAGGGACATGGTGTTTATGGTGTGGAGGTGGCTCTCGCTGACCTACCCCTCTTCTGTTTTGTTTGCCGACTGACGTCTTGTCATGGGTCAGTCAGGAGAGGAGGACTCCTCAGGAGAAGAGGAGTTCTGTGTAGCCAGCTCTGAAGCAGCAGAAGCCAGCAAGCAAGAAGATGAACTGCAAGCTTGTCAGAGTTCACAGCTGATGCAGGGTTTAAAATGGAGCTCCAGGAGAGACGACAAAGTGCACATCTCCTGGCCCGATGCCAGCTGCTTGCTGTTGATGAGTAGCTGCAGTGTTACTTCGAAGCAGTAATTTTGGTCCCTCCTGGTACATTGTTGCCACACGTATCCTTCCCTGACACAGAGATATCAGGGAGTGAAGGGGAAAGAGCCAGCCCTTCACGTGAAGACTCATTGTCTCTCAGGTCAGAACTATCAAGACCCACTCCAAGAATTCAGTCATATCCTCCACAGTAACATCCATACTATATGTGTCCAGCGTATTTACAAAATGGCCTGATTGTTGCTCTCAACATCCTCACCCTGGTCCACCAAATTATATTCCCTCCATGGAAGCTTTTGGTTGGCACTTTAAGCTAAGGGGGAAAAACCAGGGCAAGCCTGTGCAAGCACAGTCCCAATGTGTGTGCACAAAAGACGTTGATGAACATCAGTTATAGGTAAGTGCAGTTTTGTTTTCTGTGTGGCGAAGTTAGAGTTCATGAGGCCCACATGGCTCGGTTTCTGACCATCAGTTTCCACCATCCATGTATTCCATTCAGCTGTGTCAATTGCAAGACCTGAGCAAGGATGTTAACAATAAAATGGTTTGGAGGTCATTCATTCATAGGATTGCCTTCAGTTGGAAATGACTTGCTGGCAGTTAACACACACACACACACACACACACATATCAAGGTAGATTTTTTCCTCCTTTGTAGTAAAATAGCACCCAGTTCTCACCTAAGCTGCTTTCTGCATGCTGCCTTCTTTTATTTTCGGTTGAGTCAAGGCCTCTTCTGCATTGTGAAGAAGTATTCAAAAGTATTCTTATTGTGAAGAAATATTTAAGTATTGCTTAAAGTATTCAAAGGGTGGAGCCCCTCCACCTCAGAGCCAACGCGATGGTGTTTTAGTGCCTAAACTGGTATGTATTCCAAGGGGAGTGCCCCCTCGCCTTCAGTTCCTTTTCTGCCGCCGCATAGGTAGGTTCTTCTAATGATCACTCCATGCTTCCTGCTCATTTTTTGTCTGGGAGTCCTTTTCTCTTCCTCAGGATTTTTTTTTGGGAGTTTAATCTTGCTCATATTGTCAAGGGACATGGTGTTTATGGTGTGGAGGTGGCTCTCACTGACCTACCCCTCTTCTGTTTTGTTTGCCGACTGACGTCTTGTCATGGGTCAGTCAGGAGAGGAGGACTCCTCAGGAGAAGAGGAGTTCTGTGTAGCTGGCTCTGAAGCAGCAGAAGCCAGCAAGCAAGAAGATGAACTGCAAGCTTGTCAGAGTTCACAGCTGATGCAGAGCCACCTGCATTTCTGGGCATTGTGGTTTTTCCTGTCCTAGATAGTTATGGCAGAAACTTGTATCCATGCTGGTGACCTCTAGAAGGGTTGAAACACTCTACAAAATCAAGCAGGACTCTTGTAAGCTTCTGGTCACCCTTCTTCCACCTTCCTCCTTTGTTACCAAAGAAATACAGTCACATCAGAGGCAAGGACAACACTCATCCCCATTGGACAAGGAGAATAGACAGCTAAAGTCTCTAGGGTGGAAACGATCGGAGAGGCATGCCTCCCCTTTGCTTCCCCAGCTGCCCTGCCGGGAGTCTCACAATATGTGTGAAAGAGTTGCATGTGGCTCCCAAGCCACACTTTGGCTACCGTGACATATAGCTTTCCCCAGTCTGGGAGCTGCTGACGTGGGGCCTGCTGTTACACCACAGTGTGCAACACCTGCATCTGATAGCATGGAAATTTAGCCCAGGGTTCCACAGTTGCCCCTGAGGTGTATAACATATTGATTCAGGCTAGGAAGCCTTCTACAAGATATTCCTACTCCAGGAAGTAGTCACTGTTTGAGGAATGGGCCGGTGCCTTTAGTTTTTGAATATTTGTTATTGTTAGTACAAAGTGGGTTGGTTTCCTCTATTAAAGTATATCTGGCAGCCATTTCAGCATATTATAATTTGGTTGAGGGTTATTCTGTGTTTGCCGTAAGCTACCCCAACGCTTCCTCAAGGACCTAATTAATGTGTTTCCCCTGGTTCCTAACATAGTCCCACAGTGGTCTCTTTCTCTGGTCTTGGCAAATCTTGTGGGTGCCCCCTTCAAGCCTTTGGCTTCTTGCTCACTGGCTATGCTGTCCAGGAAGGTGGCATTTCTGATAGCAGTCACAATCTGCTAGGAGGATGAACAAATGTGTGACCCTTAGAGTAGACCAACCTTTCCTGAAGATCTTCATTGAGAAGGTCATGCTGCACCTTAGCTTGGAATTATTGCCCATGGTGGTTTCTAAGTTCCACCTTGATCAGGAAGTGGTTTTGCCTGTCTTTTTTCTGTCTCCTACTTGCAAGGCAGAGAAAGCCTTGCATTCCCTAGGCATCAGGAGGACCCTGTTATATTATCTTGACAGAACAAGAGATTTCTGTTTAGACAACAGTCTATTTGTTGTTACACAGGTCCTAAGAAAGGGAGGGCAGCTTCTTCACAGCCCATAGCTAGGTGGGTTGTAGCAGCCGTCGGGTCCTGTTATAAGGCCTCTAGCAAGCCCTGTCCACTTGATGTAAAGGCTCATTCCACGAGGGCACAGGGGTCCTCAGCAGCTTTCCATTGCAGAGTGCCAGTCGTTGACATCTGTAAGGCTGCAATGTGGGCAGCTGAGGACACATTTGTCAAGCACTACTCACTAGACCTGCAGTCAAGGAGGGATGCAGAGTTTGGCAAGAAGGTCCTCCAGTCATTCCAGTGAGAGCATCACTCCTCCTCCTCCTTGATGAGTACCTCGCTAAAATCCCAATGTGGGGTTGCACTGAAGACAGAAGATGGAAACAAAGTTGCACTTACCTGTAACATGTTTGTCAATGTCTTCTGTGAAGGTGCACATTCCCTCCTTCCTGCCCCACTGTGAGCTCTCCTGGGTTCTTCCTGTTCTGTTGAGAGTTTCACAGCAGCTTCACAGGATCTGAGGGTGGTGGGGCACCCCCTTGGAGCACATGATGGTTTGGGAGCGAAACTGCCATTATGTCGGCTCTCAGGGTGAGGGGCCACCCCCCTTTGATCACTTTAAGCTAAGGGGGAAAAACCTATCCAGGGCAGTCCTGTGCAAGCACAGTCCCAATGTGTGTGCACAAAAGACACTAATGAACATCAGTTACAGGTAAATGCAGTTTTGTTTTCTGTGCAGCAAAGTTAGAGTTCATGAGGCCCACATGGCTCAGTTTCTGACCATCAGTTTCCATCCATGTATTCCATTCAGCTGTGTCACCTGCTGGCAAAGACCACAATAGTGCTTACATGACAGATTGAGCCTGTGAAAATGGCTTAATGGTAACAGTCAGCAAGAAGCCATTGGACTGCATGTGTCTTTCATTCTCTTCCCCCCCTAGAGTGCAGTTCCCCCTGACATGCTGTTAATCACAGTGCTAGCTAGAGCCCCTACTTAACCTAGGGTCTGAATCTATGGATTGAGGCTAGTTTCAGATTCCGGGTTATGCTAACTACATTTAGTGTGGGGTTAATTCTTGTTCACCCATATTTGTTCTGTGATGGGGAAGTACACAGTTCCGTGGACTACTCTCTGTTGCTTGATTACGGTTAAGCAGTTGGTGGCATTTCAACTGAACCAGCCAGTAATAGCTTCCCAAGGCCAGCTGAAACAGATAAGCAAACTTCTTATAATTGGTCCTTCTTGAGTAAGTACTGTTCATGTAAAATGGAATGCAGGTTTCTATGTCTGATCTGTTCAGTGTACCACTTGTTCTGATTCTTACAAAAAATCATAGTAGAAAAATGGTATGAAGTTTTAAGTCTGAATAATATTTGAACAATGCTGCTTTCATCAGAAAGAATTGTTGACAGGACTTTTTAGTAAAATCTTGTGTATCTTAAGAACATAAGAGAAGCTATGTTGGATCAGGCCAGTGGCCCATCCAGTCCAACACTGAGAATGTATTGTATATTTTAACTACTTTTAATCAGAAAACGTGTATATTAATGGCTTTATATGATGTTCAGGAACAAGTCAGTTTTAATGTCAAATCCATTACAGTTAAAGTTGGAAAAACCTTGAATTTAAATTAAATCATGTGTGCAGAAAATGATTTAGATCATAACAAATTATTGTTTTGCTTTAATCAGGTGAACTAGATCCAGAAAGGATGGGCTCAGGTATTCAGTATGGGGATGCTGCCTTGAGACAACTGAGATCTCCAAGAAGAGCACAAGCGCAAAGTGTTCAAGAATGTGGCTGTTAGACCGACTGACTAAACCACAAAGACAAAAGGTGAGTGTTAGCAATTTTGGATGCTTCTGTTTATGTACCATTCCTTAGTCAGTTTTTCAAAGGTTTGGAGGGGGGGGGTGTATTGACCATGATTGTGGCCATGGGTGTTTCCTCCAGTTCCCTGTTCTTGCTCCAGCCCTCTGTGCCACATCACACACCATTCCTTGGGGTCCCCTGATCAACAAGAATGATTTTAAGTGACGGAGGAGAACGTGGAAGGTGGCAAAGATCCTTTCCGCAACTTAATATCACTTATGGTTTATTGGATCCACCTGTTTTATATCTTCCAAATGACCAGATTTTAAATGAATAAATCAGTTGCCCTAATTTATTTATTCAATTACATTTTTATTGTCCACTTCTCTCACTGAGACACAAGGTGGGTCACACAGTGTATGATCAACAAGTGCCAAAATACAATGTACTTGGATTTGAATTGCAGAAATTTGGAAACAAGCAGAAATCTCATAGAGAGCTGAAACAAAGCGTGACCCTTTAAATTATGCAGATATTACATAGTAGGGGCATGCTTAAAGAAACAAACCGTACACCATAGTATAGTCTACAGTCTCTGTCCTCCTGGATTTGAGCATTTTACATGTATCTGCACACTCACTAGTGATACTAGTAAGAAGATAATTTGGTTCTATAGGAGAACTGACAGTGCCATCCTAGCACCCTTCTAATTCCACTGAAGTCAGTGGGCTTAGAATGAAGCAGCTCTGCTTAGGATAGCACTGATACATGCCTCCAAATGCCTGGAAGAAAGAAAATTTGAGATGGTGGCAAGTGACTACTTTGCAAACAGACCCTCTTACTCCTGCTGCCACTCAGCCTTCCTTTGTGCCTGTGGTGCTGTGGTTGGATGTACAGAAAGAAGAAAGGGAGAAAGAGAGAGGATGTTTTCCAAGAAAAGACAAAATATTGGGATGAAGAGACAAAGATTTAAAACAACTTTGGACTAGAAAAGGATTTTTTTTGTGTTAAAAATAAAGTAGGATGGGAATAATTACCCAGTATATTTAATCAATACCCTTCATACTGTTTGACGGAAGGCAAGGTGGTGTTCAGGACCACACTCTGCAGGACCACACTCTGCTTTCCCACTGGACCCACATGACCTCAAATAGCAGTGCGTGTTGGCTGCAGGGCCTTGCCAGTCAGAAGGGAAGCACTCCCCTCTCTTTTCAACCTGCCACACTGGGTTCCAGGGCATTTTTAAAAGATTGATGCCACCTGCCTTTTCTAGTTCACACATGCCAATTCTTTCTCATCTCTTGATGATTTCTTCCCTCTGCTGACGTATTGTGCCTTCTACCCTTCCCCATCCACCCTACCACTTGTCTCAGTGCCATGCCAGTCCTAGATACAGGGGGGGAGGGTCTTGCCTACTGCTCAGGTGTCCCAGGGTGCTAACAGTTGGGACTGGTCCTTGCCATGAGCCTTGGCTTGTCTCATGAGACTGTGGGAGGGCTGGCTTGGTGCCCTGCCAGTTCTGGCGCAGACTGGTGATATAATTATGTCCAGTGGATGGGCTGGCTCTCCTCCGGACCCTGGCCACATATTAACCATTTTCCCCACAGTGGGGCTTTTCTGTTTTTCTCATTGGCGACTCAATATAATATTGTCAGTAAAACATTATAACAAGATTTGTAATGGGCTCTCTGAATCCCCTACTTTCATGTATAAGTGTCTAGTACCTTTTGTTGCAGAGATATAGAGGGAAAGGTGTATCTCTGTAACAAAAGGGGCTAGACTTTCTTTAAAAAGAGGAAACCTTGGGGCTTCAGAGAACCTGTTACACATATTGTAACAGATTGGTATTCAGTTGCCAATTTTAAACTGGAAAAGCCTTGGATGGGGGGAATGACCCCTTCTAGAGGACCAGTCAGGGAGACTATGGGGAAATTTGCCATGTGGGTGATCCATTGCTGCTGCACCGTATTAACAGTCTTAGCAGTGACAGAGAAACTACACGTGCCTGTACCTTTGTAGAAAGCACCACAAAATCAAATGGACAGCAGTATTAGTGGAAAAAGTTGTACATTACTTTGTGATTGAGAGCTGAGCAATTCAAATGCTAGAATGCTTTGAAGCTCCAGCAATTCCAAATACAGATGCAGGAGGGCATGCGATGTATCCAGTAAACTAGTATTTTTTTAAATGGTTGGATCCAGACTGCAGATGCCCTTCTCCCATGTTAGTCTTCTGGATCCCCATCCCCAAGGAGCAGCATTCCTTGAAGATAAGTGGGCTGCAGTGGGAGGAGGGGCAGGAAAGTTCTGTTCTGCTGATGGAAAATTGCATCCGGATCAAACCCAGTGGTTGCAAAGCACTTTCCAGTTCTTCTGTATAGCCTGAAGAGCTTGTTAACTACTTTATGCTTTGCTTCATAGTTAACTAATTTCTATGAATGATGCACAAAACCTCAAATGGTTAAAATAAAAAATGGGAAATGTCTTAAAGGTGAAGCAAAAAATGATTTTATAAAGTTGTATAACTACTTATTTGCAGTCTGTGTGGTTATTGGTAGAATAAATGTTGCCTTAAATTATAACAGGAGCTCTCTTCTCTTCTGATCACATATCCCTTTTTGCATGTATCTGCAAATGAACTGGTATCCATGCTCTGATCGGTTCTAAGCTACATGACTGTGATGTGCTCTATATAAGGTTGCCTTTGAAGAGTGGTAAAAGCTTCAGTTGAGTTAAAATACAGCACCAAGAGTACTGGGTAGCACAGACTATGGGATCATATCTTGCTGGTATTCAAAGCACTACATTGGCTACCAGTGTCTTCAGAGTGTAATTCAAAGTGCTGATTGTTCCCCTAGTCAGACTGTTGCAGGGCTTTAAAGGTACCGTGATTACTCTGATATGAACCCACATGATAGCTAAAATCTTCTTCAGAGGCCCTATTTCGTTGTGCCTCCACAATCCAAAGTAAGGTGGGTGGCAGTTAGAGATAGGGCACTTTCAGTTGTGGCTCTTCATCTTTTCAACTCTGTCTTAACCACTATAGCTGTGTACCTGGCACCACTGTTGAGTTTCAGATGTCAAGTGAAAACATTTTTATTTTACCAGTATTTGTGAACCGTTGATGGAAGGTTTTTATTCTGATTTTTATTGCATTGCATCCATAGTTCCCTCAATTCTCCATTATAGCCTATGGGGACACAGGCTACAATGGGGCAGGGAAAAAATGATATATACGTATATATATTTGCACACCTTTATTATGTTTTTCAATGTGATTTATAAGCTGCCTTGAGTCACAGGGAAAAGTAAGATATAAATATTTGAATAAATAAGTAGTTTGGGCAGATTGATAATATTTGAGCAGCTTCCTGTTTGTTAGGCAGCGTTCTGACAGTGATTGTTCCTCCTCTACTTGACCTATAATGCTGGTTGTCATATTTCACTTAAAAAAAAAAAAAGTAGACTACAAGAGTTTCCGCCCCTAACTGCTGGTATGTTTTTGAAGCCTCAGCACAGGGCAATGGTCCAAGGCCATGTCTACCAGTATAGTGAACTGGGGCAAGTAGACCTATTCTCTGGAAGACAGGTCTACCAGTATAGTGGAAAGGGGTGAGTAGACCTGTTCTCCGGAGGACAGGTCTACCAATATAGTGGAAAGGGGTAGGTGAAATTTGTCTTGATTCTGTTTTCTCTTATAATGTTTAAATTATTCTTAGAATATAGTTTAAATATTTAAAAAAATTCAGAAATTTTTACAAGGTTATGGAAGTAATCTTTTAAAAACTAATTTACATGATAGTCAAATGTAGACTCGTTCAAAACTTTAATGCTACTAGCTTTTTTTGCTCACAAAGTAGAATTTCTGCTCACAACACCGTGGAGCTTAGAGGAAACATTGGCTGCATCCTAGGTATTTCTCTAACAGCTAACTACTGTTTGCCTTTGGCACAAGGGTCTTTTCTGTTGGCACAAGTCTTCTGGCGATATAAAGAAAATTTCATCATTAGTGGAAAAGCTCCCTAGAATCCAACTCAGTCTTTCCAGTTGTGGCTTTTATGGTATGGATTAGATCCTGTAATCTGTATAGTGGGGGGGGGATTAGTTTTACACTGTTTCATACTGCTACTTTTATCATTAGATCTTAATAGTGTGGCTTTATTAGTATAATCCACCTCATTACTTTTCAAATGTAGTGTGGGGTATAAAATTTTTACATTAGCCATAATTGCCAGCCTTCCTCTCTTATAGGTATACTTGTAAGACAGGAGTCTTGATGCAACTTTTGCTTGAGAGTATTTTATGCAAACTTCAGAGGACGGCGGAAGACAGGAAGGCCTGGCGTGATCTGGTCCATGGGATTGCGAAGAGTTGGACTTGACTGTGCAACTGAACAACAGCAACACTATTAAGCATTGGTTATGTCTAAATACATTTTGATTCCATTACTTTTTGTACCTAGTTAGCATGATTTGGAATTGTAGTTTCAGACCTGCATTAACAATTGCAAAGAGGGAATGCAGAGAAGTAATATGTATTGTATGATTTTCTGAACACTTGCTTAACTGTCCTTCTCTAACCTTGACTAAATTTCCTTACATTAATCTGTGTCCCCCCACCCCAGCTTTTGTTGCAAGTGATGATTGGAGAAACTGCCATGACTTCACAGAGCTGCAGTTTTAGAACTTTTTTTATTCAGTTAAGAGACCACTTATAGTATTTAAAAATAATACTGTGGAATGGCATACAGAAGTGTGCACATGGCACAGCAAGACTGCAAAAAAGAAAATCCAATTCAGCAGACAACATTAAGACCCAGATACCTGTATGTAAATGTTTTATGTTGCATATTTTTGTTTACTTCTCGTTAAAACATTGCTGTATCCTGTATATATAAAAGTCAACATTAAATTTCTAAAGCATGATATACTGACGGAACAGTATTGCACTAACAGGTTTTTTTTTAACTCATAAGACGTAAAATGTATTTTATTTACTAGACTTTATCATGTTTCTTTTTCTTGTACAATAGCTACTATTTATGAGTTGTTGTTGTTGAAAGCTACTGGCATTGACTGTCAGTGTTTTATTTGCCACATTCTACAAAGTGTTTACATGATTTACTGGGGGGGGGGGTTGGTCACTAATCTGCCATATTGCAAAGAGACTTTTTTACTGAAGTATAGTTGTCCTGTTTCCTGACAGTTATTAAATGTATTTGAATCACTTTGTCAAGCATAGGCTATACAGTTGTGAACTCTGAGAGCTTACCACTGTCTGATCTGGCCTCTTGGGAGATTCTTATTTGTGTCGTATTTTTTTACATCCTAGAGCATAAGGAAAATTGTATGTTTTGAGTGTCATTCTAGTGCAGTGATTGAGGTTGTGAGTTGCCACTCTGATTTTTTTAAATTAAAACTATTTCTTTAAGTAACACTGTTCAGGTTATACTCTGTAACAAGCAATGTAGGTTGTAACTGGAAGAGGGTTTAAAAACAGAGAATATTTACAACATTCAGATAGCTTCTATAATCTAGAAATGTAACTGGTAGCAATTAAACTTTACAATATTACAGATGGAATTCAGCAATTGTGCACAAAAATTACTTTTTATACAAATTTCATGATATAATTACCTGATATGAAAGGGAAATGTCTCCCTTTGTGGTATCTAATGGTAAGGGAATTGTTATATTTTATCACCCGGAAATCGTACACAACTTCACCTTTAACGTATCGTTACATTGTAAATGTTTGTATTTTGTGTGTGTAGAATAGTCAGCCTGTTGGAAATCTTTCCAGTACCTTTTAAAGTACTGGAAGGACATCTGTGTTTGTTTGACCCACAGCTAATCCTGAAACAAAGAAGCTATGTAGGGTATTTTCAAGAGATCTGAAGTGTCAGCATGACTTTGAGTTATGAAAGGAAAAGTATAGATTTTGTATCATTCATTGTGGATCTAAATTGTTGATACTTTTTGACTGAGTCATGGATGAAAAGACTACAAAGTTTGACATTAATGTAAGTTAAGAACTCTGTTTAAGTCTGGGCAGTCTTCCAACATGGAGGGAGGAAGCTGAAAGGTAGCTGCATGGGGATGTGAATCAGGTTGGAGCAGCTTCAGAAAATAGTGGTTAACACTCTGGGACACTTTTCAGGTCAAAGTCACACAAATCCAGCTGCTTTCCCATTCAGAAGAGAGAAGCACTGATAGGCAATTTGTGATGGAAAAGTACTATGCAGGAAAGGGTTAAGTCTCCTTTCTGGAGCTGTTCTGTTAAAACCCCCACCCCACATTTGAGTTAAAGAGAGCATGTTTTGGGGTCTGCTGAACTTTCTTTAGTTTGTTGTCGAAGGCTTTCACGGCCGAGTTCATTAGTTGCTGTAGATTTTCTGGGTTGTGTGGCCGTGGTCTTGGCATTGTAGAACCTGACATTTTGCCAGTAGCTGTGACTGGCATCCTCAGAGGTATAACACAGAAAGATGGAGTACTCTCTGTGTCAAGGTTTTTCTCTGTGTCACCTTGACACAGAGTGTACTCCATCTTTCTGTGTTATACCTCTGAGGATGCCAGTCACAGCTACTGGCAAAATGTCAGGTTCTACAATGCCAAGACCACGGCCACACAACCCAGAAAATCTACAGCAACTAATTTCTTTAGTTTGTTTCCTTTTTATGCCAGTTTAAAATTATGGCATTTGGACAAGCTTTGCCACTTGGTAGGGGTTTTTTTTCTAGTGAAGGATTAAGTAGATAATACAGATTACAGTTGTGGATGCTAATTGACACACAAACTGGACACTGGAGTGCTTTTTGAGGTAGACCTTCATGTAAACAGCCTAATTCAAATAAAAGTCAATACCGAAGAATAGAGTAGTGTGTTAACAAGATTTAAAGGAAACTTGTTAACACACTACAGTTCATTGTGTTTGAAAAATTTAATTTGAAGTCTTGTAGACCTCAGTTTAAAATTAAGCAATGAAAACCAAGTGGCTAGCATGTGGTATTTGTGTATATTTGGTTCATCGCATGGATATATGGGAAACGTAGCATGGACGTCTTAGATAATGGTTCAGAGGTACTTCCAAGGAATATTCTTTTGTGTATATGTGTTTCAAAATGGTGTGCATTTGAATGCTTCATAAACTAGCATCAAAAACAATTCCAAAGAAACTTCGTAGGTAAGTGTCTACCTAGATGCGAACCTTTTCTGCTACATATCACTTGAAGCTCCCTTTCCCCTCCCTTTTTAACTATTGTACTGCCACTTTCTCCTCTTAAATTGGGTGGACTAATGGAAAAGGGATGAATCCTACTACATTAAAAAGATTAAATGTTTAGATGTTCACTCTAGTCTTTCTGCCCTTTGTCCCAGAATAGCTAACTTTCTCATCTTTTTCTGCAGTAACACTATAAATGATACTGATGTTGAACAAATGCCACAGCTAGAAAAAGAAACTGCAATTCAAGAGGCTGTCTCCTCTGTAAGGGGTGGAGAGTAGATGCAACATTGACGGCCTATGCCCACACCGCAGCACAGAAACTAAAGCTCCTTACCTGTTGCTAATTTCACTGCAGTCTAAGGGTAGAAAAAGCTGATTCTACTACAGATATGTCTGCCACTTAATGTGAGTTGAGAAATTGTGGTGGCCAGAGAACTTGTAAAGGACAATGGGTGTTAACACCTTCCTGTACTCTCCAGTTCTCAGCTTTTTTCTCCCAGTCATGCTTTTTTTCATCTTGGAGCCCGGCTTGGGTGGGGTGGGGGTGGAATTCTCCTGTCTATCAGTACTGCCTGGCAACTGATGCTCTCCCTAACTTAATGTTACAAAGGAAACAATGGATTGGATACCTTGAGTTTTCCTTGAAGCATGTAGTTCCACTTTTGTGGGGGTCCAAGAAGTGCAAAGTGTGGTTCCAATCCAGCACATAGTTTACATGCACTGTGGTGATGATTTCAATGCAACATAAGTGTGGTGGACTGCTCCCTGTATTGGCTTTGTTCTACAAGGACTACAGGAGCTTAAGGAGCATTATTACAGTTGAGCCTTAAGACAGTATGTACTTGCTCTTGACATTTAAGTGCATCTAAAAATAAAGTGCATTTACACAGTATTAGTGTGCATTAAAAGGCTTAAAATGCATGAGTTCAGTGCTGTAAAAATTTTACTATATGCTTAATGTCATCTGAAATGTTATTTAAAAGTAAACAAAATAAAGTTTTATTTAACTGTATTAAATTGCAGGTTTCTTTTAAACAGTTGAACAGATTTGGCGAGGGTGTGAATTCTTTGTCATAGAGCCATCTTGTTAAAATTTTCTTAAGTGTGTATCACATGAATCCACTATTTCTGATAAGCGTAATTTGATATAGCAGAATTCAGTTATCAAGGATGGCCCCCTGAATTTCACAGTGAAATCAAACATGTAGTCAAATATTCTTTTGCTTTAATACCATCTCCAGAAGCAAAGACTATCTAAACCATGATTTTTAAAATAAAAGGGATCAGCAGCTTGACTCCAGTGAAGACAAGCACATGAACTCCTTTAGCTGTTATATATTCTGATTTTCCCCCACCCTCTTTTTAGACCAATGGTTCTCCACTATGGGATGGAACTCCAGGTAGGCTGTCACTCTTCTAGAAATGAGTTGTGAGGCCAGGAGGAGGAGGAGGAGCAGGTAAGCTGGGAGAAAAGATCAAAGGCAAATTTGCCTTCACATAATGTGCAAAAATGACCATGAACTATCAGTCTTTTGCTGGTAATGTTATATATTTATAAATGCTAAATATGGAAATAAGGGTTCATTGTTAATTCATGTGAGAGTCCTGCAGGTAATGTTAGTGTAATAGCATGGATTAAGTTTGCAAGTGAATCTGAAAAGTGCATTAAGTGTATCCCATTTCAAAAGTGCTATGGCTTTAGGGAGTTTAAATCATTTCACTGTAATAATTCAGGATATATTCTTTAGTAGTAGTTCTGCTCACATGTTACAGTGAACGCACATATCCTGTATATACATGTGTACATCTGTTTATAAGGAAAGAGCCAATCTGTGTTCACTTTATAGATGAACCAGGGACCAGCACCTGGATAAAGGTGCCATTTCAATCTCACATTCATTTTGCATGCATTGAATGTAACATGAGAATTATTTAACATGTGTTTAAAGAAAAATCAGTCATACACTACACACGGATTGTATGTGCATTCACTGTAACTTGTGAAATGGCTGCTTAGATTAGGGTTGGAATTCCAGTAACTAATGATTGACTAGTGTCAAACATCCTGTGAAGCCAAGAGCATGATTGTGTAAATGACAGCCTGCTTTTTAATAAAAAGTTTGTTATTTATAGTCCGCCTTTCTCATTGGGACTCAATGCTGATTACACAGTGTAAGTTAATACTATCAACAGGATGGGACAATGCTATAGGATTTGATTACAGAAATCTGAAACAAAGCATTTAAACATCATAGAATCACAGAATTGGAAGGGGCCATGTAGACCATCTAGTCCAAGCATCCCTAACCAGTGTTTGTCCAGCCGCTGCTTAAAGACTGCCATTGAGGGGGAGCACACCACCTCCATAGGCAGCTGATTCCACTGTTGCACAGCTCTTACTGTAAAAAAGGTTTCCCTAATATCCAGCTGGTACCTTTCTACCCTTGATTGCGAGTCCTATCCTCTACTGCCAACAGGAACAGCTTCCTGCCCTCCTCTAAGTGACAGCCCTTCAAATACTTAAAGAGAGCAATCATGTTCCCCCTCAACCTCCTCTTCTCCAGACTAAACATTCCCAAGCCCCTCAGCC